TCTCCTGATGACATGGCATACACAGACCTCATATGTGATTCAATGGAAAGGACTTTCTGCCGAACAATCCACCTTCAGAGGTGTGAGGCAAGGCTGCCGGGGCGCCCCCTTTTTTGGGGCAAGCTTCATTGCACTGGTGTTGAACTTGATAGCACACGAATCCTCAGAAGAATGGATGCGTGAATGCTGCACCTTCTATGCAGATGACGGTCATGCCTGCTTTGTTTTTCAGACCATGGCAGAACTTCATCAAGGCCTACATCACTTTGGCACCGTTATTTCTGTCCTTGAAAAGCTGGGCATGACCGTGAATATGAAGAAATCTGCTGTCATCTTAAGATGGGGAGGCAAACAACAGAAACAAGCCCGGCAGCAATTTGTGAAAAAGAAGCTCGACCACACAGTCCTTTGTATACCACAAGAAGCAGGGGGCTCACACGAAATACCGATCAAAGAGAAGCACGAATACTTGGGAGTTCAGATGGGATACAACAATTTTCAAAAGGACACCATGAAAGCTCGGCTTCACGCATGCAAAGTTCGTTTCAGACAAATGCAGAAGTGGTTCTCGACCAACGGCATGCACTCGGCTCAGAAGGTGGCTCTATGGCAAACATGCATCTTTCCTATAGGAGTGTATGGCTTGGATGCAACTGGAACAGATCACACCTCAATTCCTCTGTTCTCCAAGAACATGACGACCATGCTTAGACAGGCCGCAGGCGACCACTCCTTCATGACACACACTTCTCACATGGATTTTTTGACAGAGCACCAACTCCGCCACCCGGTGCTTTCCCTGCGGGAGCGGATGGCCTCTCAATTGAAGCGGCATGAGGACAGACTCTCCTCACTTCAAGAGCATGACATACTCCACCTTCTTGACCTCAGTACACTCCAAAGCTCCATCCACCTTACAGACTCTTGGCTTCAGGACCTTGGAGATCTGGATATGCAACCCAAGCTCCCCTTGGCGGAGGCAGGACTTGACTGTCAGCAATGTGGGCTGACCTTTCAACATTTATATACACTGCGGCGACATGAGTTGCATGTTCATGGCATTCTACATGCCGAGGGTCCCACGCTGGACATAGCTAGAGATGCGGTTGATGGGAAACCTACCTGTCGGCATTGTGGCGAAACCTTCATTAGCTGGCAAAACCTCCGACACCATATTCACTCCTTCTCCTGTTCGGAATTTGACTCGACCAAGGCACCACCAGCAGTTCTTCAACAACACAGGCATAAACTCCTGGAGTACTACGACGAAGGTGACCTGGCCCCCCTGGCCAATGATCGAGGCCTTTGCTATTTCCTGACCCAACGGTGCATTCTTTGTGGCTTTTGGTCTTCGAGACTGCAGCAAATGTCTGCCCACATGGGTCGAGATCATGGAGATGTCTATGCGCTGATGGGGGAGGTTCTGCCCAATGAGATCAGGGCCCGCACCAACTCACCATGCGAACTTTGTGGACAGGACTTTCGATCGAAAACGCACACCTGTCCTGTGAAGAAACAACTGGGACTCGCCCTTGCCTACCGGAAACACCGTGAACAATTTCCGGCATGTCCACCACCAGTCCCACAACCTCCGCAGAGGATGGATGCTCAATTTGCTTGTGCTCAATGCCCCAGGAAATTTGTGACTGCAGCAGGACTTCATCAACATCAATCCATGGAGCATGCTCATTCTACCCTGACCAGGACTTTCCTTGCATCCAGGGATCAAGTTCCTGGGCTGACCCAATGCGCACACTGTGAGGCCTCCTTCCTTTGTCTTGCAGCACTACGGCATCACATTGATGGAGGTCACTGTCCTGAACCACTTCCGGATGCTCCTTCTCTCCTCTGGCATCACCCAGTGGTCATCTCGGGGCTTCACGGGGGCACATTTGATCATCTACTTGCCTACAAGTCACTGATTCGGAGGTTGGGATACATTTGTGGCCTTTGCGGCCATCAATCATCCAGTTCCTCCTCTCTTCTGAAGCATCTCAGCTCGGCTCACTCTACCTCCTGGACTATGGCAACCACGTATGCTGAATGGCTTCAAACTGACAGCGCTCTGCGGAACCTTGGCTGCTCCTGTCTCAGACCTCCGGCGACTCCTCATGTTTGCACGGTCTTTACACAGCTGGCCCTCTTTGTTCACCACGACCTGCACAAACTGAAGGATGCCAGCGATGAGCTCATCTTGGCACATGCACTGAAGCTGGACCTACAAGTTCTCAGCCCCTCCATTGCCATGAACTTCCCCCACTTGGACAGCCTACTCGCCACGGGAGTTTTTGATGAAATTCTTGGAGATGGCACACTTTGCACCGCCCTTAGCACCTGGTGCTGCTTATGTGGACGGCAGGTTGACCCCAGAGACATGCTTCAACATCTATGGAACAATCATGCAAAACATGGAAACCGTGGGGGGCTGTTTTACAAGTTTCTGTCTTTCTACCAAAAGAGGCAGCAACAGTGTTCAGTTTGCAACTGTCATCAAACCGCAGTACAGTGCCCAGTGCCCCTTCAGCTAGCCAGCCTCCTTGCCATTCTTCACCATGGACATGGAGGGCAACCAGATCTCAGAGATGTGGGGGGCCCTGAATCAGTGGGTGAAGATGGAGGTGGACGAGGACAAGCAGACAGCAAAGCGCCCGAGGTCTTCCATGTCGAATGGCGCGAAGGGCCAGGGAAAAGGAAAAGGAAGAAAAGGGCAGGGGAAGATCCAGAACATGCAGGACGAATCCACACCAGATTCAAGAACACTCCTGAATGCACTGACCCGCCTCGTTCTTCGACACGAAGACACGCTTCAGTGCCTGGCCATGGAGACGGACTTCTTCGTTTTTTTGAGCGCGGGACCAGGCTCAGTTCTACCCAGCATGATGAACCAGACGCAGACCTGGCAGCAGACTCCAACTGCGGAAAGGACGCATCCACTCCGGATCTTAGTCCTGAAGACGCTGCTGGAAGAACTGCTGAAGAGAATACAGAAACTTCAATCCACGGCCTCCTCCGATCCCTTGATCCAGACATTGCTGCGCCTGAACTTTCTGCAGCCCGAGCCAGAGAAGGGAGACTCATTCATATTTCCTCGTATGAGGTGGAATTCCCAGAAGCAGCAGATGGAGGCTCAGGAGGACTCGCCCCTGACCATGCAGCAAGCCACACAGACAGTGACCAGGATGCTCACTCTGCTTCAGCAAGAAGCCCTGATCAAAAGATTCGGAGCCCTACGTCCCCAACAGCAGATCCAGAAGGCCATGACCACGGACACGGAGTCACCGTCAGCCATCATTCCCTGGCGGATCACACTGGCCCTGGTTCACACTCATGCCAACGAGATGAGGGGACTCTGGCACCAACTCAGTGGCCGCTGAGTTCATGTAGCAGGCGGCTGCAGGATTTTGAAGTGTCCTCAGTGGAGGTGATGTTGAGGCCATCACAGTTGTTCCAGCATTTTGCCAACTTGTTGTGCAAGCGGTGTTCGATGAGGGCTGGCTGGGCGCATCCGTCCAAGCACTAGCTGCCAGAGTCCTGAATGACTCAAGGCCAATGGTTTGAAGGCGGACCAATGGTCCAACTTCCCTGGGGCATTAGGGGGCTTGGCAGATGTGTCCAAAGGGCAGTCCATGCTTTTATGGGCGGATGGGCAGTGGACCACCCTCTTGGCCAACTGGCCCAATCCTTTTCGGCAGCATGATGTGGTTGACTTTACTCATCACCTTCTTCAACAAACCAATCCTCTTTTTCTCAGTTGTTGTTGGGAAAGCCGGCTGGAGGATGACGGCCAATTGAAGGTGGTTGACCACAATGCCCAAGGGTGCCCACTACGACTCTACATCTGCAGCGAGCAAAAAAGCACCCTGCCAATTGACCTTCAAGGTCTTGTTTCCAACTGGAGCCTTGCATCATTCGGGTTACACGCCCTCACCGAACCAGCAGACGTCACATGCCTGCACATCGACCGCTTTGACTCCAAGGGACGGAAGAGTCACACTCGATTGACATGGGATTCTGAGGTGTGGCTGCCGTACTTCCTGAACACAAAGTTGGAGGTCGACCACATACCGTTCATCGTCATTGGCGTCTCTTTCCACTTGGGGTCCGAGGCCTCTTCGGGACACTACAACACGGCCATTAAGGACGGTGACTCATGGTGGCTCTACGACGACGACAACATGCCGGTGAAGTTCTCTATGCTCCCACTGGTGGCTCAGGAGAACTGCTGCCTACTTTGGCTGAACTGCACACCACATGGAGGTGCAGAGGAGGTCTCTGCCATCTCGGACGAATCGCCCATCCTGACGGACCAGGAAAAGATCCAGAACATCATCCATGACCCGGCCATCAATGACGAATGGCACAGCAAATGGCTGCCAGGACTGGATTTGATGGACACGGATCTGCTGGTGGACCATCCTCGCCTTTGCCACCGATTGGTGAAGAAGTGCATCACGTGTGGAAGCTGGCCTCGTGACCTGAACTCACACATGCAGGTGGCCCATCGCTCCTTGTGGGAAGACAGCAGCTCTCTGGCAGAACAAGGCGCAGTGAACTTCCTTTCCAAAGCACACCCCACAAGATGGTGCGCTTGCCAACCGTTTCACAGCATTGGCATGAATGAAGACCATTGCTGTCCATGCCTGCGGCAGTTCGCAATGCTGCACCTGGCATTGAGATCCCATCAAAGGGCAGAAGCAAAGGCTTCGACGTTGGCCCGGCTCCTCGACCCGAATTTCAGTTGAGGAAGGCCCTTCGGGGCGCAGGTGGGACCAAAAGGGTCCACGCATTCATCGACCGATGAGCGTATGAAAGAAAAGATGACGATGACGATGACGATGACGATGACAATGATGATAATAATGATGGTGATGATGATGTGATAGTAGCGATGATGATACATATTATGTTGGAAGATGATGTGAGCAAATGTCCTTTGGAAGAAACCCTTTCGGGAAAAAACTTTAAGTGTGACCTACACCAAATCCAGCAAAATGTCTGGCCTGGCTTCCCTCATAGTTCTCCTTGAATTTGTCTTGCAAGCGGTGCACATCGTCCTTGACTTGCTGGATGAGAGAAGTTTGATACTCTTGAATTGCTCCACGGATCCTAGGCCGGTAGAAGAGTGCATTGAACCTGCTGAAAACACGAAACATCTCTGTGGCAGTTTTGGCCGCTCCCAACTTGTCGCGAAGCCTCGCAGTAATTTCGCTCTCAGCATGGTCGATACATTTGTCATAGCGGCGCTTTGTGTTCTCCCATTCCTGTTGCCCCCGTCGGCTTACATCCAAAACATCTACCTGCTCCACCAGCTGATACGCAGCAGCTACTTCAGCTTTGGCTGTTGTTTCCTTTCCGTCCAACAGGACTCGCTCGATGATCTCTTGCAATTTCATGTGGTTTCGTCGGAACTTCTGGAGCTCCTCAATTCGTGCCTGGAGTTGTTCATGCTCACAATTGATCTTGACAATAGGGCGCTCATTTCCGCGCTTCTTCAACTGCTCACGGGCAAGTTGTCGAAATTGTCCGAGCTCGTCATTCCAAACCCGGAAGAGCTCTGCACATTGCTGCATATTCTGGGCGAACATCTCCGCATCCTGCTGCATTAGCCTCTGGGACATGATTTTCAGCAATCGGTCTGACAAATCCCGACTGACCGCTTCCACCAAGTGGAATGCTCGCGAAAGTGGATACTGCACCGCAGTTCTGATTTTCTGCATGTGCTTGAAAATGGTGCGAACAGCCTGAGTCAACTGCTCCACCGTGGTTGCAACTAGCATTTCATTGATGGGAAACTCTCGAAGCAAAAGCAAGTAGTTGGACACTTTGTCAATAGCCGGCTTCAAGCCGGTATCAGCCTCAAAGGACATTGTTGCAAGGAACCGTCTTGCGTTCTTGAGCAAATCCAGTGTCAGCTGGATCTCCGGCGACTGAAGTTGTTGCTGAGCATCATTTAGGACCTTTTCCATTCCCAACCAAAAGTTGATCTCTTGTGTTGCACTTCCAGTCGCGGCGTCGCGCTGCATCTTTGCAACTCGTTGGATTTCTTTGCTCCACTTATTGACACCACTCTGGAGATGACTCTGGTAGGTCGAGTCATTCATCTGCTCTTTGAAGTCATCTTTGGTCAGCTGTCTGCCTTCAGCTTTGGCCTTCTCAAACGCCTCCGCAATTTGGGGATCAATTGGCAAAGAAATGTTTTCAATCTCAACATTGTGCTGGCATTGCATTAATGCCATGCAAAGATCCATGATTTTTCGCTGCACATTTGGCACACCGATCTTCTGTTCATCCCGGTCGTCCTCACCGACAGTCTTGCTTGCACCTTCCGTCCTCTTCGCAAATGCGTTGAACAGAGGTACAAAGCTGTTCTGAAGATACAAGTGAACTAGTTCGAAAGGGGACCATTCTGATTCAGCTCCCAAAGTGACGAATTGCAGGTGTGAGGCAAAGTTGCCAGCAACCTGCACAGCACCTTCATCCAGCGTGCCTAGCGTTCCTTCATAGGCAGCTCTGAATGTTGAAGGATTCCGCTTGAGAATTGCAATTGCACACGCTTGTGGGCAGAAAGCAACTTCATTTTCTGTAATGATGTTGTATTCTTTTTCATCCTCATCCTTTTTGCTATCTTCTTTCTTCCCTTCATCCCGCTCCACCAATTCTCTGGCAATGAAAAACGTTGTGTCCTGATCATCGCCGATGAAGTGTCGAACTTTGTTCATCATTTCGAGGCTAGCAAAATGCTTTGCAATCTCTTCTTTGGAGGCCCCGAGGAGAGCAGGACACACATTGTTCAAGACCTCGATGAAGGGTCCAGGATTAATCTTCGCATGTTCACCCATGGCGGCTAGTTTCCCTCCAAGCTCAAGAAAAAAAGAATCCTGAAATACCAACACACTAAATGATTGCATGAAGGAACATGCTGGCTCACCCACGTCAATGGAAAGAAACTAGTGGTGAAAGCGCCAATGAGAAAAATCACCCAGTATGCAACATATTGAATTTGTCATTTCAGTGCCAAATTGTTTTTTTTTGAGTTTTGCCTATATGTATGTGTACTGCCTATCCATGTTCGTCCTCATATTTGTCGCAAGGTATCCTGGAACCACAAGCGACGCGGAAAAAAACAATTTTGCAAAATGAAATGCATTGACATTTGACTCACATTCGACTTTCGTGTCTGACTCGCAAACATGGCAAACCATAGTTGATTGGGCCTGCCACTGCAAATCAAGTTAGCGGTTCAACATCGTCCGACGTTGTCGAAAGTCTCATCTCTGTCCGGACACATATCGCATGCCTATATTCTCAGAGTGCTCACTGATCATTGAAGCAGTGGAGGAGCATTCTTGAGTTTGGAATGCGCGAACAGCATCATCTTGCTGCCAGTGGTTTGATGTCTGTCGGCTACACGGTGGCGACACGCTACATGCCAAAACAAAAACATCGGCAAAGAACTTGCAGTTTATCTGATTGCATTTCATATGGTTCCAAACAAGTGACCCAAATGAACAGGAACAACCAAATGAACCATACCTCATTATAACAACCTGGGCGACCGCAGACCTGGGTTTCAAGTACGAGTGCACGTGTGCGCTAAGGGCCGGACCGATGCGCGCGCAAAAAAGAAGGGAAAAGAATGAGTTGACAACACACGCAGGCAGAAAACACATGAAAACCAAGATTAAAAAAGAAGTGCGCGCAGGAGGAGAAATGAAAGGAAACATGAAATCGAACCTCACCAACAGACCTGGGAACCTAGAAGCACCTGGCCTAGTTTATGCTTATGTTGTCCGGGGAATGGCCCCGGGTCTTAAAGAACTGTGACCACCCTGGCCTTGCCAACATGGCTGCTTGCTCACGCTCCATCAAAGCCGTCAAGTCTTAATCAATGCTTGGCAAAGTCTCTTGCACTCACTGCGAGCTTTCCGGCCGAGAGAATGAAACAAACCCTTACTCGGCAGGCTCCAGGGGGCACCCGCCGGGTACACCCTGGGCTGCCCCAGGCAGCCCAGGCGAGACACACTCGGGAAATGTATGCGGTATGGATTTGCGGCTTCCCACTTGCCGGCCTAAGAAAAACCGAGGACGGCAAAACAAAGGGCAAGTAAGGTGGCCTGAACATCTAGGCAACGCCGGAAACCGCGAAGTGACAAAATGACGACGAGCTCTCACATCTGCAGAATTCATTCGCACTTGACAGGAGAGTAGGACACAGCTTGGTCAACAGTTTAAAGGGAAGCAGGTACATCGGTGAGCTATATATCTATAACCGTGTTCAATGCAAGCCTCTTCGTTGGGTTGGCACTTGCATGAACAACCAGCTCGCTGCAAAAAACAAATGGACCCCTTTGATTCCAAGGGTTTCACACACACAGGTACCACAATCACCTGGCTCTTCTTGGCGGGGTATCTTCTGCCATCGGGAGCTTGGATCAAAACCGGGGCCTGTGAAGAGGAAAGTAACATTCAGGTCATCGCGATCCGGGATGGAGTAAAAATTGAAAACAAGCTTCGGTTTCGATTTGGATGTTTGATTGTCCCATAGTTGGCTCCCATCCATTCGTTAGTGATGGCTCAAAAAAATAGGTTTGACACTGCTTGCGGCCCAGACACATCATTGGGTGTGAAAAACAAAAATTGTCGCACCTTCATGCCTATCGCCGCCTATCACCGCCAAAATTTGGATTTCAGTTTGCGCGTCCCCATGTCTAGCGTTCAAACTGCTGCACTTCTCTTGTTTCACACTCACCGGTGCTTGCGCTGGTTCCTTTGGAGTTGCCGGGGGCTTTGTCATGGTTGCCACACACGTGCGCTATGTAAACTGAAGGCCCCCAAACGTCGGGAATGATTGTTGCAGGTGGATACATTGAAAGAGAATAATACCACCGCATAGACCCCAAACAGTTTCAAAAAGATTCGCTTGGACCAATGTTAGTCAAAAACGATTTCTAGCTGTTGAGCATGTTCATGAAAAAATTGAGAATGCCCAACGCGTCTCACAGGCACATCACCGGGCACCCCATCTATCAACAGTATAAGACGGGCCCCGTGTGGCCAGGGCTGCCAAAGGACAACAACAACACAAGAGGAGGACAAGACCCGACCACAGAGCCCGGCCACAGACATGGGCGCGGACATAGAGCCGGGCCACAGCCCAGCCAAAGAGTTCCAAGAGGAGGGCAAGGCCCGGACACAGAGCCGGGCCACAGAGCCCAGCCACAGAGTTCAGGGGCGCGGCCAGGGAGTATGGCCTTCCCAGCCCTGATGATGACGCGGAAATGCGCCGACTCGAGGAAGCAGCAGACAACCTTGAGTCCGACCCTCTCATCAACATCCCAGTTGAACCAAAGGACATTGAAGTCATGCCTGAGGAGGAGCAAGCGGAGTGGATTGAAGGCATCCAAGAGGAACTCGACAATTTGGACGACATGCAGGTCATGGACAGAGTAGACAAGAAAGCCATGCCTGAAGCAGCGCAAAGGCCCATTCCAGCCAAACTGGTTTTGGTCAAGAAACCATTAACAAAGCCAAATCACCGTGGAAAACTGTACAAATGCAAAGCAAGGGTAGTAGCCTCCGGCAACAAGCAGACAGATTCCCAGAAGGCATTGCGCAATCGCAGGGAGGTTCCGGGCGCATTTTTTGTTCGGTGTGTGTTGGCCTTAGCTCTTTTGCACGGCTTGGCGCTGTCCATTTTAGGCGTTAATGCTGCATTTCTCTACGCTGACCTTCCAGCTGGCGAGCCGCCAATTTGTGTAGCCCCGCCAAACATCTTCTGGAGCAATCGGAAATGTGGGTCCTCAAGAAAGCCATCTACGGCTTGAGAATTTCACCGCGCCAATGGGCTTTCACTCGGAACAACACAGTTAGGGGGCAAGGCCTGGAGTTTGCAGATGGGGTTGAGGGAACTTTTCAGCCAGCAGAATCACAAGAGCATGTCTGGATGGTTGTTTCCCAAAAGGGTGATATTCGCGCCTATGCCTTGTTTTATGTGGATGACATTCTGTTGGCAGCCAAAGCAGCCGACCTTCCAGCGTTGCACGAAAAGATTCTCGAGTTTTGGCGAGTCAAAGACCAAGGCACTTTGAGAAATCCTGCAGACACGACATGGAATGATGTTTTGGCGGCTGAGTTGAACCCGCAGTCGGAGCTCAGCTTTCTAGGTATGAAGCTTGTGTTTGATGAAGACAGCAGTTTGAGTTGCCACCAAATTCCATACATTCAGTCTTGTTTGAAGCAAAGGGGGTTTCATGCTTTGAAAGGTTCTCAGTCCTTGCCAGTGATCAGCGAAGGAGCTCAGCCTGAGTTTGACAGTAAAGAATCTTCAAGAATACAAGACTGCCCTTCACAGTGCACAGAAGGAAGTAGGTGCTTTGCTGTGGGTGACACAGCGCAGTCGTCCAGATTGCGGAGCAGTTGTGGGGATTTTAGGATCCATGCTGGTCACGCATCCCAGTGCAGTGCAGAAGTTGTGTCATCAAGTGTGGCGCTACTTAGCAGGAACCTTGCCTTGTATGTTGCGCTATGAAAAGCGCAAAGCTGGTGCGCCGCAAGAGTTACGGATTAGTGAGCGCAGATGCGAGTTTTGCACCTGGCGGTAGTAAAAGCCGTACAGGTGTGGTGGCAATGCTGAATGGATGCCTCGTTCACTGGACCAGTGTACGTCAGAGCCTCGCTGCGCAAAGTGCAGTAGAGGCGAAAGTTCAAGCGACGGGGTCCGGAAGTGTGACAGCAATCGCCTTGCAGAATTTGCTTAAACCGTTGGCAAACGTTGCAGTTTCCGCAGACCTTTTGACTGACAATACAGGATCTTTAGCCAACATTCAGCACACTGTCACATCGTGGAAGAACAGACATTTTTGCAGCAGAGCAGCCGCTTTGAGGGACCAGCTACAGACGCATCACATACCGTTGAAGTACTGTCCTGGCGCCGAAATCATTCCAGATGCCCTGACGAAAGTTTTAGGTAAGAGTAAGCTTGCCAAAGCCCGTTGCAGACTAGGCATCACCTCGCAAGGCCATCCTGAGGAGGAGTGTTGCTGAGTGAGTGTGTGTGTGTAACCCTTGGAATCATAGGGATCCTTTTGGATTTGCTCAGCTTGCTTTCTTACTTTCTAGTTTTTACTACAGCAGGGGGGTGCAGAGCACAGTGGAGACTGCACCCAACGAAGCTATCCACTTGTGCTGGAAGCAGAGCCTGATCAGCTCTGTGTACCTGCTGAATTTTAACTTTTCCTGATGGTCCGTACTGGTACTCTTAGGAAATGGAACCCTAGGCCGGCGCGTGGCACCGCTTTCAGTTCAGTACACTCTATCCTGAGTGTGTTTGGCCTCGCGCCAACCCGGGATGAGCCCGCAGAGTGCCTCCCGTGGACCCGTCGAACGGGTGTACGTCGCTGTTTCCCTTGCTCTGGAAACGTAAGTGCCCACAGCGGGCGAAGGTGGCCTAGGCCGAGAGAACTCCGATTTGTCTCATTTTAGGAATTCCAAGCTGGCTCATGCCTTTACGTGACCGCAGCGGTCAGAGGTGGCAGCCCCTGGGCACGCCGTACGTGGTCGCAGCGACCGAAGTCTGTTCAAGGTTCATTGGAACCTGTCGAGCACTTAGCCCCCCCTTCTCCCCCTTCCCTCCCCCGTTCTTTCTTTGCTTTCGGGGGTTTTCCTGAATGTAATACTCAGGATCACCCCTCTCTTTCTTGGGTGTGTCCCTGGACGATTGTTCGTAGCTGGGAACACCTTCCTTTCCTCTCCCTTTCTCTCCCTCTCTCTTTCTTCCCTTCTCTCTTTCCTCTCTTCTCCCTTTTTGGTGTGTCCCTGGACGCATGTGTCGTAGCTGGGAGCACCTTTGTCTCCT